TTATGGCTTAGCTCCTTGTGTGCTGACTGTGATTTTTCAGTAAGCCACAACTGTAAAACATGGCTTAGGGTAAGAAGGGAAGCTGTCCTTTGTGTCTGTTGAGGCTCAAGGTCTTGAAGCCACCCCACCCTTTGCCTTTACAGATGAGAGAGCGACAACAAGGAGCCCTATCCTATCACCCAGTGAAGTGGAAGTGAACACCATCTATATTAGTGAAAGACCCTGCGTGCCCAATGTCCAGTGGGGATCTAAGGATGGTGGCATGCCTCCCAAAAGGATTCCAGACAGAATTGGCTGAATGCTTCCTCCTCCTTTTTGGAGAAAAGATTCTCTGTGCATAAATATGTAAATAAGGTCAAGATAAGGATGCCTTCAGGTCAAATTTAACTTTTAAGACCCATATAGTTTCTTGCAGCAGAGCAAAATGTGGTTTGCCACATACTTTTTTCTTTTCTTCTTTCTTTTTCAATGTCCCATTCGGATCTAAAACAAGCCCAATTGGCAGTTTTTTAAGGCTGTATTTATTCCTGCTTAATTTAACCAGGGAACTATGGAATTAAGTTAAGTATTATTTTCTGAATATAGATAACATACTGAACCGAGGCCCCAGGATGGGTTTCGTGTAACATATTGGATAAAATAGGGCTGGCCGGTTTGGGGTTCAGCTGGCTGTGAGAAGCCAGCCTATGAATCTGATGGGTCCAAATCAGCCCAGAAAAATTTTGCAGCACAGGGAAGAAGTCCCAGAAGTATCTCTTAAAATATCTGCTGGGATTATTTTACCATAAAATGCTACCAGCAATGGGAGCAGTTACCAAACAGAAACACACATCCGGGTGTCGAGCTGTCTGTTGCAGAGTTTTACCTTCCTGGGGCTTTGAAGTCTTTCATGTTTGAAAAGCATCAAGAAGCCGCTACAAATGTTAATAAAATTAGAGCCATCTGAATGTTGGATTCACATGTGCCTTTGAAAGCTGGCCTCTGATCAGTTATTACCTTCAATTACCTTGTTGTCCACTCTTTTTAGCTGGGGGTTAAACTCTTAACACTTCCCTTTGAAGTGGTTATCCTTTTATCTATGACCAGACTGAGGAATTTAAGGGCAATAATCAATGGAGGCTTCATAAGAATAGGAGAGGCAAAGCAACAGAAAATAGGTGTGAACTTCCCTTTAACTACCAGCTGGCTGGCTTCTTTGAGGAAGGAAGGAAGGAAAGAAGGAAGGAAGGAAGGAAGGAAGGAAGGAAGGAAGGAAGGAAGGAAGGAAGGAAGGGTGTTCTCCAGCATATTATCCTATTTTTTTAAAAAATGGGAGGAGTAGGAATTTTCAGATCAGCATTAAAAGCCAAAGCTGAGGGGTGATAATTTGGGTGAAGGACAACAAAGGAGTGAGTTCTTCATCAAAGAGAGATGAAAAAAGTAATGAAGCACAAAGATACAATTAAAGAATTGCCTTAATCAGAGCTTTGATGTCTGACATGGTCCGTAATGCTGTTAAGAGGAGAAAGCGAGGTAAATTCACCTCTCTCATCTAGGAAAAAGAGGCTGATGCAACAACAGATTGCAACTCTTTCAGGTTTCTACAGAGAAATTGGGGGGGGGGNTTAAATGAACAATACTAGTATAAATTAAATAGAATAAATAAAAGTGTTGCATAGAAAAATGAGCATGTTAAGCAGTTTACAATTGTATGTGCTAATGCTCATTTTGCCTTTGTTTCAGGTATCAGTTCTTTTTGCAGGTAAAGCAAGATGTCTTACAAGGGCGTTTGCCTTGTCCTGTCAACATTGCTGCTCAGTTGGGAGCTTATGCAATACAGGGTATGTCCTGATACAGCATTTCCCTTTTTAATACTGCCTTTTATTTGCAGTACAGGGTTGATTATATCTTAAAGCCTGTGTTTCTTTGAGTTGAAAGTAGTGGATTGTTATGAATTTCTTCTCCTTCAAGAGGCATTCCAGAGGGATAATAAATGCATGCATTGGGTACCTATATTCACACAAGGTTGACATACATAATGTAAGATCAGCATTTTTAGTCATGGTTTCCTAAAAAAAATATTGATTCCTGTTTCAAACATAATGGTTTAGGTTCACTAAACCTAATGCACTAGATTAGCTTTGGGGCAATGTACAAGATTATCAAAATTTGCTGGTGCATGTACTTTTGCACACTAAAAATGGTAACTTTATCAGAGATCCACTCCATATTAAATTTTCAGTGGGGAAGGGAATGTCCACAGATAAGTTAGCCTTTAAAAGAGCTGTGTCTTCTTTAGTATTTACTATGCAAAGTGAATATATGTACAGTTTTAACTCATCCAAAACTGGGTTCAGTTTATGTAGGACCACATCATAAAATGTTCAACTATATTGAACTTGTATATCTTATGGTAATAGTGTGTTTCCAGACTGCCTTTGTAATGATTTCGTTTTATTTAGAGTCACTTGATGGAGAAATGGGCAGGATATAAATTTAATAAATATATAAATAAAACAAATTTATTATTTTATTCACTTACAAAATTATATAACCATCCAATTCCTTCACATTCTTTTAAATGAATTAGGCAATGACATTTTTGCTTTTTTAATATTGTAACTTTTGGGCTTCCACTTAATAAGACTTAAGAATCATTACATCACTCTTTTCTGTCTTCAATCTAGAATCCAATATTCTCTTTTCAAAGTATCATTCTGAAGAATTGCAGAACTGGGGGAGATATTGAAGATAATCGGGGATCGGGAGGGGGGCAGGAGAGGCTCAGGCAAAGATTGCCTATAGAAATTGCTTCCTCTACTTCCACCAAGAGATTGGAGAGACATTTCAAGAGAGTTCTGTAAGCTGTTTGCATAGCCTGCCTGCACCTCCCAGTACCAGTTTGCAGGAGTAATTGCATTGCTTTTGATATGTACAAGACAATAAACAGGCACTTGAGCATTCCAAAGGGTGAAGGGAATGGTTAGTAGGTGGGGGTGGGTTCTGGCAGAGACTACTGCCAGTTTGCCAGGGATGTGGCCCGTGCATGCATGCTTGATGCGTGCGGTGTGCAGTAAAGCGCAGTACAAGTAAAATTGCTCTGCGCATGCTCGGAAGCAAAAAACAAGATGAAGAACCGGTTCGGGGCGTGGTAGGCTGGGTTGCTGCTGGTTCCAGCAACCCAAGCTGCCAAGCTACAATCGGTCCGGGCGAACCGAGCCGAATTTATAGGAACCCACCACTGTTAGAAGGCAGGTTAAAGCCAAATGTGAAACTGAGCAGTTATGTCTCTTTCCAACCAGAAAGCACATGTGCTTCGCTTAGTAGTCTGTTGCCAGTTTCAATTAGGGTTATTAAGAGAGGACTATCATTACTAGGTTGCCACCAATCTTGGTGGAGTGTGACTTCTCCCTTGACTGTTTATCTGCTGCTATTTCCTGTTAATCTGGGTGTTGGTTGCTAGAGAGGTTATATTCTAGGCTATTTCTTTCCTTCCTAGACTTTTGGTTGTGTCTTAAATAGTATGTAAATGAGATTTATCTCTATGTGTCTATTGGTGGAATCATCTGAATGCCAAACTTTCAGGAATCCTGTAGGATTGTTGGAATTTGGCTTGATCTAAAATGTTGTTTCCCAGTTGAAAATGATGGAGGCTGTCCATGTGTCATCGTTAAGCGAAACAGTCACTAAGTTGGAAACCATATGACTGTGACTGTATTTTCCTTCTCCATCCTTTAGAAAGCTCATCCCAGCAATGGGATAGCCAACTAGAAGCTCCTATCTATAACAGACCAGATTAATCAGTGTCATGCTTTAAGCTTTTGTTTGCCACCTAATAATTTTATTTCTGCTTTCTCCTCCCCCCCTCCATCATTTGGAATGCTCACCACAGCATTGGGATAATTAATAAGGGAATTAATGTTGATATTTACATTCACTGGAAATGAATAAATTACAAAATAGTAAGGAGACACACAAGGCGGAATATATATAAAAAGGAATGAAGTGTACTGGTAGCTGTGAACATGCTTTGCAAAAGCTTGGTATGTTTCACATCATGTGTACGGTTACTCTCTTGTAATCCATTACTCTCTAGTCTCCACTGGAGGGGAGACATGTCAAATGCAGGAGAGATTGCTTACAAAGATTGTTTGTTTTTTCCCCTTCTCCCCTCCCCCCTGCTGCTTTTTAAGCAATTGTTTTTGCAAGACAGGAAGGGGGGAAAAAGAGGCTCTCTTTGTAAGCAATTTCTCCTATGCCTGAACTAATTTTTTCTCACCGTTCCCTCACAGAGCAAAGAAATTGATGAAGAAATAATTACAAGGGAGTTAGCAGGCATCCTATGGGGAATACACTGAGCTTGGGTCTGTTAGCACCACTACATTCCTTACAATATATATTCACCTCTATATACGTGCTTACTTTCTTGTAATTCCCTTTTCTCTTATTTTTCTTCTCTGCAAGGGGGTACAAAATAAAAATAGGTCAGGCACAGGACACCCCATACTCACCCTAATGCCTGTTTTAATACAACATCTTAAATGGAATCCATACTTATTTTTTTCTGTATGAATGTTTCTGTTCCCATTTTCTCTTCCATATTCTTATGTTCCACTTTTTGAATTAAATGCTATAATTTTGTTTAATTTGGCTATTTAAGATTAGATAATTTTTACTTGGATAATTTCAATAAAATATTTAGGTGAACATCTATCCAAAGGTATGCAATTAAAGAATTCATATTTTTGTGTGCATTGTATAGCTGAACTTGGAGACTATGATCCATGCAAGAACACTGCAGGTTATGTTTCAGAGTACCGTTTTGTTCCTGACCAAAAAGAAGAATTAGAAGATGCCATAGAACAAATACACAAGACTCTGACGTAAGAATTTGGTTTTATTAATTAATGTCAAATGACAACTTGTGCAAAGAAGAAGCAGTAAAGAAGCAGATCTCTCTGAGAAGGACCTTTCCTTTGATTGTTTTTTAAAAATATACTTATGTGCTGGATGGCTTTCTTATCCATCCAGAAAAACAGACGTACAATACATTTTGGCTTAGTGTTTTCTATATATTGTATTTATATTACAGGATATGATTGTGATTTCTAACTGGAGATGTTGGTCTGAATATCTTACTAGTTTGTTTTTCAAAATTATGGTTTATTTAGTAAAACACAGATAGCTAGGTCCATAACAATAGACAATTATCTAGGTGGAAGCATCTAGACAACTTTGTCTTGAGTTGGAAGCTAAACAGGTCTTGGCTTGGCTTATATTTAGATGGGAGACAGTCAGTGACTATTTGGGGTTATAAAGTAGAGTAGGAAGTTAAAATACACCCCGGGATAAGGTAGTGAAAACCACTTCTTTGCTGGTGCTGTTGCTGGTGCTGTTGCTGCTTCTGCTGACAAAATTACAGAAATTGCAGCAACTGAATTGACTTGAAGGAGGCTTCATGCTTTTATAATGAGAAGTATATTTTACTAGGCTTATAAACTATGGTTTATAAACAAATGGATTCATTTACATTTCATGTTATGCCAGACATATGCATGCCACATTATGATTTAGCATATGCAAATCTCACCACTAAATAATATAGATAAACATAAAAAATATTGGCAGGAAATCCTGTATAATCTATAGATTCAGAAGCATGACACGTTTAAGCAAAAGTGGTGGGGGCAAAAAAAAAAGATGAAAGCAATCTATAAACTACTAAAACTCTTGTATCTGTAATCTTCACCTGGATGAAACAGTGCATCACAGGGCAGTGATCACGGGGAACATGATAACTGTCTTCCAGTACTTGAGGGACTGTCACAAAAAAGAGGGGATTGACTTATTCTCTAGGGCGCCAGAATGCAGGACAAGAAGTAATGGATGGAAATTTTCTGACAGAGCAATGAGTGGAATAGCTCACCTCCTGGGGTTATAGGTGCTCCACCACTGGAATTTATAGACCTATTTGGGGGAGGACAAACACAATTAGAGGAAGCCCCAGTTTGCCTGTTGCCACATTTGTATATTGAAGGATCTATGAAAGAAACAAAACTTTTTTGACATTTTGTCTGTGAACAATGAGTAACATAAATTATTCTATTAGGACAGTTGATCACATGGACATAGTAGCAATTTGTTTTTCTTTGTATTGAAAAACAAGTTCAATATGTTCTGTGAGCAGTGTTCCACAAAATCACCATAAAATAAATGCTAAGTACAAATAACTATAAAAGAGGAACTTTATTGCACTGTAGTCAATTCATAGGGACTTCTATAAGCAAACTCATTTTTGCCACATTCAAAGAAAGAGAATTAATATATTACATAAAATAGATCTGAATGTCCTAGAAAATTTACTGAAAGAGGTGTACAAAATGTAAATATGTATTTTTTATAAAAGGTGCAATTACAACTGAATATGGATATAGATTCAATAGTCACTACACCACAAGGGCAAGTCTACCAGACTTTTAACATTTTCCTCTGAAGAAAAGCTGTTGAAAATACATAAGAATTTATTAAGGTTAGAATTCTTCTAAATTTGGAGATGATTATTTCATGTAAATATCTTGCTGACCTAAAAAAGAAGATTAACTTCTAAAATATATGTCTCTAAGGAGAACACACTGATCTTGTTGCCCTTCTAAATGCATAATGCTATTTAAGAACTGACATTGCCTGCCCACAGTACGCCATCAGACTCCATCTTGTGAAAACTCCTAGTACTTCAGTTTTTGCTGGAATAATTTTCAGTATCTTTCAAAATTATCTTTAAAATGAAAGAGCATAAACCCAAAGGAAAAGGCAGTAGCGTAGTAAGAAAACATAACCATATATTAGTCTTTACTTTGATCATTCTAGTCTCTTGATGAAGAACTGCACCGGACACATCTCTCACTTTAAATATTTTCCTTAAAATATTTACCCTATCTTCTTTGAAGAATCAATGTTTCTATACAGTCCCATTTAGGCTCCAAATAAAAACTGTGCATGAGCTTTAGCTGAAAATACTTTTCATATAGTTAGTACATGTATCTCTGAAATGGTAGAAGGATTGTATATTTTGCTGATTTTTGAAGGTTTTGGATTATATAATCCAGATGAACGTATTTTATAATTTGTAAGGATTTTAATGTGCTGTATAAGAGGTCCATTTAGCTGGACTTACTTTGTTCTGAATAAATACATCTAAGAATGTTATGGTGGTGCAGTGGTTAGAATGCAGTACTGCAGGGCTAACTCACTGCTTGCTCCAGGAATTCAATTCTGAACGGCTCAGGGTTGACTCAACCTTCCATCCTTCCAAGGTTGTAAAATGAGGACCCAGATTGTTGGGGGCAATATGCT